GTTTGTAACTGAGGTTTTGTTATATTTAATTTAGATGTGTCCTAGGGACATGGAAGATAGCAGAGGTTTGTTAATCTCATAAAATATTGAATTTCCTCAAAGTTTGGAAGTAGAATGTCTACCTTCTCACCTAGACCTGCTTTGTAGGCCATCTCATTCATGCTCACCAACTCAGGTACTAACTCTGTGTCAAGTGCCCACTCATTTTTATCTCTAGCTCAAAACTCTCTTTTGAACTCCTACTTACTTACATATACAATGGTTTATTTGACACGTTTTAGCATCCAAAAGTGTTTATTGAATGAATAAATGAAAAATTAGTTACATGTTTTTAAATCCCACTCTCAGGGTAAACAAGAAGAGAAACAACGATTATTTTAAGCACATCCTATGTACCTAAAACTCTAGGCCTTAGCGCCTTTTTGTCTAGAGTTGTGTATGCATTCTTTACTTTTATTTTGAGGTTTGCTATTTCGACAGATTCAAGAATAAGCTTTGCCTAAGAGTTGTCTTCAGCCTTTCATTGTAGATGGTACGTGCTGCGTTATCAGCTATTAAGCCCTTTCTGTCATGAAGCAAACAAACAAAACTCTTACTGTGAATTTGGATTTGCCCTTCCTCCTGCCATGCTTCTTCCAGCACTATCTACAGACTTCTTGAATGCCCGTACACCCTCATGATGTTCTGTGATATTCCAAATGAGGCGCTGACTTAAAGAGAAATGGGCTGATGCTGATGCTCCCAGGATTGGCTGGTCTGATCATATACTCTATTTCCTGTACAGAAAATGACCCCTGAATGGTGGCGTGGTTTGTTGAAACTCTGTTATGGAACCCACTAGGAGACTACACACTATACGATTTGGGTGCTGTCTTGTAAGATGTGTATATACTCTGAGTGAATGAGCTGTATAGGATGCAGTTTGGTTTTTCATAGCCTACATAAGGGCTCAAGAACCAAGTGATGAGAGGGAGGGGTGTGCCCATCACTATTTTTCCTAATGAATCAACTGAAAAAAATGTGGTTTCTTTTCCTGTGACTCTAAAAGCTGCTGGTTTAGATATTTTGGCATGCTAGACATGAATGTTTCTACACAAAAATGCTTTTCTTGAATTGTTAACTGAAACTACCACCTTTGGTTCCTTTATCCTAGAGATAAAAATTAGTGGGCAATTCACAAAGAATTAGTACTTGAGTTGGTGAGTGTGAATGAGGTGGCCTATGGAGCAGGTATAGGTGACAAGAGTAGACATTCTAGTTCTACACCTTGAAGAAATCCTGTATTTAATGAGATTAATAAACCTCTGCTATCTTCCACCTCCTTAGGAAACATCTAAATTAAATATAACAAATAAAACCTCGGTTACAAACATGAAAATGTTATACATTTTTGCCTAGGTCATTTTTGGCTCCTATTGCCTTTGGGTGAACAAGTCAAAGTGGGTTATGGTGTTGTCTTTGATAATTGATAGCCGAGAAGCAGGCTGTCAAGGAGAAATTGGGTTGCTATTATACAATGGGGGCAGGGAGGAATTAGTCCAGTACTTGGGGTATCTCCCATGATACTCAGAAGCCTCAGAAATGGAAGTTCAGGCCATCTTACCAGATAAAGAACTCTGAAGAGCTGAGGTTATAATAATTTTCAATGGAGACTGGCAGAAATCATAAATGTGGCTAAGGAACTAGTTGTAAAAATGAGTAACATAACCTTATAGTTTCTACCTATTCTTCTCTCCTTCTAGTAATGTGTATGTATGTATATATATACACACACATATATATGTACACATATATATGTGCTAACTTTTCCATTTATACTATTTATTAACTTAATTTTCTTTACTTTTCCTTTATGCTATTGTCTTATATATCATGGGTTGGTAATGATTAACTATCCAGTTGAGTCCAGAGGAGAAGACAGAGACAGAATAATGATAAAATCAGAATAATTTACCTCATCCAGAAATTCTAAACTAGATCTGGATGCAGTAAATAATGAGATGCAAACTTTTTCTCTTTGACAAGAGTAAATTTTTAGATATATCAAGGGGAAATCAATGTATTAACCCAGTAGGTGCAATATCATAAAGTTTGTAATAAGAAGTAGGGTGTTGAGCTGCTAATGGGGCAAACTGCAGAGGACATTGTATTTTCTGTTTGCTACTCATTTTATGAGTCCTGAGAGGGGACAGAGACTAATTTCTACTTATAATTTTAAAAGACTGGATGCTCAATTATCAGGTATATTTGGCAACTAAGAAGCAGGCACCTGGCATGGGTTTGGCCAGTCACACTTGCTTGGCCTGGATTTGAGTCTGGAAATAGAGATGCAAAGAAGCTACAACCAGAGAAGAATACATTTTTGAACCAAGCAGCATCCGATTTTTAGAAGCCACAGTAGCGCTCAGGCTTGAGTGGACCTGAAAGCACTGTCCCTTCTGGACGAGATCTGTGCCAAGGTGTGATGTGGCTACTGTCCACTTTCTCTTGTTTTCTGTTGTTTAAGCTCGGCTCCCTGGCTTCCATAGTCATTCTGGAAGCTACCTAATATTTTTTCAATAAATTATTTTTCTGCTTATGTTATCCAGATTCACTTTGTTTCTTCCAACTCAAAAGCTTGAATTATGCACTGAGAACTCCACAAACAGCACATTAAATCTCCTCTTCTGAGAGAGGAACATTCTAAACCCACAAGCATGTAGGATGCAGGCTGCGTTTCCAAAAGAACTCCAGGACCCAACTCACTCGAAAGCCTACAGAAAAGCCTGCTTGGTTGCGCAAAAGAAGTGTCTATATACAGATGTTTATCCTCAGCAGTTGAGGAGTGAGGTTAGTCCTGTGGTCGCCTGACTACATGATTCACAGAGACAGCCTCAATCTTCTGACTCATAGGAAAACCTCAGGTGGGCTGTGGAGACCCAGGAAACATTTGTGGTATTTTCATCCTGATGTTGCAATAGGAATATGATCTACAAATCTTGCCTGCTGGCCCCAAAAAGGCAATAACATAAGCTTTTTTTAAAAAAATGAATGAACCAAAGAGGGGGCAAGTAGAAGGAAGTGAGATTCAGAAATATGTTGTTGTTATTTACTCACAACAGTAAAGATGATCAAAGGGTGGGCAGTTTTTTGATATCTTACAGTGGAAATCAACAAGCATCTTATTATAGAAAAAGGAGGAAAAAGCACATGTCCAAATTAGCAAAAGATGGATGAATCCTTTTCTGAGCAGCTTCTGAGCTCATTAGCTAATCACGGGGTTTGGATAAAAGGGGCAGTTTGAATTATCTAGTTGGTGATTGGAAAAAAGTAGAGCATGGTTATCTGTTTTTTAGTATGAAAAATATGTAAGTGTTCAGAATTTTCATGAGTACGGAAGAACTACTGAAAGTGTAACCACAGAAGGCAAATCAGATAATAGAGATGAAAAATGGGGTATGTTTATGATTTTAAAAAGATGAATAAAAACAATTTTAGATTGAATTGGACCTAAAGGGTGCTGAAGTTCAAGCACTGAAAGTGAATTTTGTAGCAAAGCCAGAGAGAGGAAAAGCAAACATTTAAAAAAACATATGAAGATATATTGTCAGTTACTATATACAGTTAATTTCACCAAAGGAAGACTTTTTGGCTGCTGAAATGCAAAAAAATCACTGTTTGAGAAGTGAAAATAAGGGGTCATTACTATGCATGGGCATAATATTTTGTTTTATATAACATAATAGTTTATAAAATAGCTTATATTTGTCAAGATTAAGGTTGTGGTGTGGTTGAGTGAGCAAAGGTTTGAAATTAGTCATGCATGGGTTCAAATTCTGACTTTATCACTGTATTTGTTTGCTAGGGTTACCGTAACAAAGTACTGCAGAATGGGCAGCTTAAACAACAGAAACGTATTTAATAAAGTACCACAGACTCAGTGGCTTTAACCGTAGACATTAATTTTCTCACAGTTCTGGAGGTCAGAAGTCTAAGATCCAGATGTAGGTGGGGCTGGTTCCTTCTGAGGGCTGTGAGGGAAGGCTCTGCTCCAGGCCTCTCTCCTTGGCTTGTGGAGGGGCGTCATCTTCCCTCTGTATGTGTCTGTGTCCAGAGTTGTTCTTCTTTTAAGGATACCAGTCATATTGGATTAGGGTCCATCTTAATGACCTCAATTTAATTACCTCCTTAAAGACCCTATTTTAAAAAATGATTACATTGTGAGGCACTGGGGATTCATACTTCAACATATCATATCAATATTTCATATCATATCATATCAATAACATATCAATATCTGGGGAGACAGAATTCCAGCCTATAATACTTACTATGTTTTCTTGGGCAAGTCACTTAATTCTCTTGAGATCTCTCCCTCATCATTAATGTAGGGGTAAAATATTGTTGTAAGATGACACGTAAATCATCCACAACTGTGGCTGACACAGAGTAAAAACAAAAAAAAATCAACAAATATTATTTCTGTTTTCATTGTGATAAAGTACAGCGTGAGTTATAGATCAAAGCACAGAAAAGGAAATATTCACTTTAAAATTGTATTTCTCCAGCATTGTCAGCGAGTCAAGATACATCTCTACATTCCATAGAACTTGTCCTGATCCTCACGATCAGGGCTGTCTTGGAATAGATGTCACCTGCTCCGGTCTTTCCTGACCCCCCCAGCTCATTCATATCTCCTACTCAGTCAAGAAAATAGGCTATAGAAAATAGTCTGATTTCCTGCCTAGAAACTGTTTCAGGTGAAAAAAACAAATGAAAAGGAAGGAAAAGGAGAGAGTTAGAGTACATTACATGTCTTGAAAACCTGCAACCTACTTTTCCAATCACTTTTAAACCAGAGTTCTTTTTACAGCTTTCAGAGCTGAGCCCGTTATAACTGAAGCTCCGCTGAGAGAAGCCAGCAGAGGGCAGCAAAGTGCCAGGCAGTTGGGCCTGCGGCCTGAGGCAATGCTGATTCACAGGTGTAGGGGCCATGTTACTTAGCAGGGAAGCTTCCCTCTAGACCAGAGGTTCTCATTTTGCTGTGGTTCTCATTTTGCTGCATGTCAGAACCTCCAGGAGAACTTTAAAAAACTCCTGATGTCCATGTTTCAGTCCAAAGCAGTTGCATCAGAATAGAGAGAAGGAGGTAGAGGTTATATGGAGCGGCTATTGGGGCATGTCTCAGTCCATTAGAAGCCCAAAGAAACTTGGGATTTGGGGAAGGACTTGGATGAAGATAAGTAAAGGGCAGGCAGGCTCTTTATTCAGACTATATCCACCATCCTAGAGAAAAGGGATTTGACATTTTTAAATCGTGACCAAACTGGAAGAGATTTGTAGTACTTTGAAGGTTGCCCTTCAAACGCATTGGAATCGTTGGCATTGCTAAGTGAGGTGATATTCAACAGGGCTATTTGATGAGATGTGACAGATGCAAAATGAAAATTTTAGATTAATTTAGTAAGAGTATTAAAAAAGCCAAATGTCACCCATCAAATAGGTACAGACAAGAGGTGAGAAAAAGCAGGAGAAAGACATACCCAGGAGCCCTATGCGAGAGGCCACGCCCATCCTGCCCACTGATTGGACTGAGGCACACCTTTGGTGTAGAACTGGCTCTCAGGCAGGGGGAAGGTTGTCTGAAGAAGGTTCAAAAAAGTGCTTATGTGGCTGGAAGTCTAGAAAGAAATGAGCTGATAGAGGTTTGCAAAGGATGTTTGTGGAAGCAGAATTTACAGATTGTAGATGATGGAGAAAGAAGAAATTCTGATTCCACTCACTACATCTTCAGCTCTTGAGAAGAGTGAGTATGGACTGGGTGAGTTGAACGTATAGTATATGAAGAAAGATAATTTTGACAACTGAATCTCTTTGTTTGAAGTGTGGCTGTTACCTGAGCGGGTGGTTTGAGGTGGAGGCGTTAAGATTCTGCTGGTCAATTCTTTGAAGAAAATAAAATGTACTGTGACCCAAACTATATTGGACATTTTCAAGCCCTGTTGTCCTAGAATTATTTTTTTTAAATAGTCAATTATGAAATATTGAGAGTTGACAGAATACAGATGTGTTTCTTTAAAGTAGTGGTTTTCAAAAGGTACTGTATATCAGAAAGTCTGTTAGAAGACAAATAGCTGGGCCTCCACCATCTCTGATTCAGTGGGGCTTGAGAATGTGGGTTTTTCTAGGTTCCCAAATGATTCCAGTGTTGCTGGTCTGGGGACTAATCTTTGAGAACCATGGCTTTAAGAAAAACATTATTTTTGAAAGAGGCAAATTAATGACTGTGGAGGTGCATGGGGAATGTACATCTCGCTGCTTAGCTAAGTGATTTCAGCTTTGTTCATTGGAATCACCTGGGTAGCATTACAACGCCCAATGCCCAACTTCCACTCCCAGGGTCTGTTGTAACTGAGTCGGCAAGTGGCCTCGGTATCAGGATTTAAAAATCTGTGAGTGATTCAAATATGCAGCCAGGGTTGGTAACTATTAGCTAGCTCGCCAACGTTCTGGTTCTTGTTGGTCTTTTCTTATGTCTCGGGATAGCCTCAGGAGTTTGGAAGTCAAGATGATGAGTAATCTCAGCTGACATTCGTTGAAAGCTTTTTATGGGTCAGCAGAGTTTGAATCACTTCATGTGAATGATCTCATTTAAACTTCACAGTGAGAGATGTAATATGTATTACCTCTACAGGCATGGTGACTATGGCCTATGGCTCAACAACAAGGTATGAGAGACTTGGTGAAAGCATGAAAGGAGGCTGGGCGCAGTGGCTCATGCCTATAATCCCAGCACTTTGGGAGGCCGAGGTGGGTGGATCACCTGAGGTCTGGACTTCGAGACCAGCTGACCAACATGGTGAAACCCCATCTCTACTAAAAAAAAAAATACAAAAAGTTAGCTGGGCGTGGTGGTGCATGCCTGTAATCCCAGCTACTTGGGAGGCTGAGGTAGGGGAATGGTTTGAACCTGGGAGACGAAAGTTGAAGTGAGCCGAGATTACGCCATTGCACTGCAGCCCGGGCAAAAAGAGCAAAACTCCATCTCACAAAAAAAAAAAAAAAAAAAAAAGATGAAAAAGAAAATATGAAAGGAAAACCACAAAATTGAAATTAATATTAATCAATTTTACAACAAAATGATAAAATCCCTTAAATATTTTAGAAACAATTGCCTATATTTAATAAGGAATGTATGTCCTTTTGAAAATGTGCTTGCTATTTTGTAAGGTAAGACTATCAAAGTGCCTATGAAAGTTTTATCATTGCCCTGCTCACAATGATTTTACTTAATAGAAATTATGGTTAACCCTACTTTGTAGATGAGAAAATTGAGGCACAGAGGGTTTAAGTAATTTGCTTTAAGCCATACAGCTAAGTAAGGGATAAAAAAAGAATTCAGACTTTGAGATTCTAACTTTGTGAGTCAAAGTAAAGTCATGTAATGTAACATATAATGTAATGCATTCCTCATATACACATATGCAGACACACATAGGCCTTTTCAAAAAATTACCTAGGGAAATTATGAAGGAATTGCAATTTGGGGCTGTTGTAAATGCTTTCAGAGAATCTATAGATCACTAAGCTCTTTGACCTGCAGTTTAACAGGGCAGGGCCACTGAGTGCAGCTACTCAGGAGGTTCAAGGCATAACTGGCGGGTGCTCTGTTTGCAAAGATGGTATGACAATGGCACCCTGGAGTTGGGCAATGTGGTAGCTCTGTATCAAGGCCATTAACTTTGGAATCTTAAAGAGCAGTACAGATCTTGTTAAATATTGCCTAAAAGGAAGACAAAGTTAGAAAAGTATTCAGAGGACACTCCTTTTTTTTTTTTTTTTTTTTTTTTAAATTATAAGCTCTTGAGTATTATGCAGTAGTTAATGTACTAAAAAAAAAAAAACTGCCGCGCAAAGAGCTTAGGTCATGTGACTTGCTCCCAGTCCTGCTGCCAGTGAATGGCAGGACCAAGACCACAAGGCCGACCCTGGAGGCCCTGGGACTCGTAGGTATGATGGCTTCTGGCATTTTCTATGGCTGAATTTCAGTTAAGAGATGTGTCAAGTTTCCACTACAGAGGTTTTTGCAAAATGTCCTGAACTCCTGACTTAATTTCAGAGGCTTTATATGTCCTCACAATAGCTGGAGTGGAGGAAATATTAAGCTGATAGCTTAGTAGACAAATATTTATTTTAAAAAATGTCACCCTCTGTCACGCCAGCAGAGCATCTTGTCACACTTGGAATTCTTTTTCCTCTCCTGCCATCTGGTGGTACTTCTGAGCCACATTTTCATTCAATTGTGTCGGATCCCGATAGTCATTTCTACGAAATTTGTTTAGCTTTCAAGGTCATTACTGTTCAGATCATTATCACATTCTTAGGAAACTTGTTGGTATTTTTTATTTAATATTCAGGACAAAACAATAGTTTGTGATTCTTTTTATATACCAGAGTATTTCATTTCTGCTAAATATTTGTTTCTAAAATGTGTAGTATGTGACATTGTTAAAAACATGACCGTGAATACATATTAATTTACATTTTATATATAATGGGAAATCAAGATGTAATTTTATTAAATTGGATATTTACTTAAACATATGAGTCATTGGTTGCATGGTATAACGAAAGAAAAAAATGCTATTTAAAAATTTCCTTTTGAAATGACCACTTGACTGTGGCTGTTATTGCTGATTTTCTTGTATCATCGAGTATTTGCGCACATTACACTTGTAACTGATAGAAATCAGTTTCATTATCACTGCTAACAATTATTTCTTAGATCCATTTCTAGAATGATCCTCAACTTCTCTGCCCATCCACTAGTCATGGTGATTTTCTATACAACTACAGCTTCTCTACAGAAATAAGCCTGGCAAGCACTGGTCCACTCCTTCAGTTGCCACCTTCTCTGTGACTTGATCTATGGGACCTCTGCGTTAGGGATCTGACTTCGATGGGAGGTCGGGGGTTGGGTGGATGATCTCACTTTCTTTTTAATCTCCAGTCTCGCAAATGTTTTCCTCTAGAACCCAGGTCAATTCTACTGTTTTAGTGTGTTTTCTGCTGCTATAACAGTACCTGTGACTGGGTAATTTATGAAGAACAGAGGTTTATGACAATGCTGGAGGCTGGCAAGTTCAAGGTCAAGGAGCCCCCACCTGTGAGGGCCCTCATGCTGTGTCATCCTATGGCAGAAGTGAAAGAGCAACAGACAGTGCAAGAGGAGGGAAGAGGCCCCAATTCGTCCTTTTATCAGGAGACGACTCCTGCTGTAGCTAACCTACTCCCACCATAACAGCAGTACTTCATTAAGGAGGGCTTTGCCCTCTTAAGGATCTCACCTCTTAACCTTGCTGCATTGGGGATTAAGTTTCCAACAAATGAGTTTAGATGGGTACATTCAAACCGTAGCACCTACCAAGCTGTGAAGAAAAAGTCTGCTACATAAAAATCAAACACAAAATTATAAATAATGAATAAAAGGCTGAAAGAGACTCCAAATAATCATAGCCACATCTTCAAGTCAAACTAACAGTTTAAAAATTGGAGAACAGAAAAATAAAATGCAAACTTCAGAAGCGCTAACTGAATATTTTTATTTATCCGAAGTCAACCTGTAATTAGTGTTTATTCTCAACACACAATGGTAACCAGTACACAAAAGATGACTGAACAGGATTTGTTGATTAAAGGATACAATGAATACTAAATGCTTCAAAATTAGTTTGAAAAGTGTTAGTTGAAAAAAAAATATTCAAATTGTTAGTCAAAAATTCATTGAAATGCTTGAAAATTATTAGTCTGCTAAAAGGTAACAACATAATTTGTTGATTAAAGAGAAAATAAATACTAAATGCTTGCAAATTATTAGTTTTACCTTATAGGTACTACTTTTACCTGTTGTGAATTTCCAGCTCACTTTCCCAGTCCTATTTGTATGATGCTTATGTATGGGATAAACAGAACAAAGCATCCTGAATTCTTTTATGAAATCGGATTAATTAATTACTATCAGTGTGCTCCTTCTGTTAATATACAATGTATTTCTGTAATGTCCTATTCCACAGTTTTTAGCATCTTAACCTAAAGATGTTTCTTTATCCTGAGAGCCAGGTTACTGTTTTCTTGTTGTAATTTTTTTGTATAACTAGAAAACACTAAAAAATTTTCTACCATATGAGAATCAATTAAAGGACAGAGAAAGATCTTGATTTACCCAAGATAAGAGCTAGGAAAAGAGATGAAGTCCCAGGTTCCTGGCTTCTATATACAGTGTACTGCCCTGCACAATTGTAAAGAAATTCCAGGCATAATCAGCAATGTAAATTTCATCATTTACATGAAAATAAAGTCAATACTCTAGAATAATACTTCAAAAGTTGGTCAGTTTTCCCATGCAGTCCCTTGAATGGGGACATTTTGCTGTGATTAATAAATTGGGTCAGTATTACAATGGCATTAGAAGGTTAGGAAGACAGCCAAACACTAGTCAACATGAATTTTCCTCTATGAGATTGTCTTAGTCTGCTCTGGCTGTTATAACAAAATGCCACAGACCCAGTGGCTTATAAACAACAGAAATTGATTTTCACAGTTCTGGAGGTTGGGAAGAAGTCCAAGATGAAGAAGTTGACAGACTTGGTGACTGGTGAGGGCCCACTTCTTGGGTCATAGATGACTGTCTTTTCACTGTGTCCTTACATGGCACACAAGGCAAGGGACCTCTCTCCAGCCTACTTTGTAAGGGCACTAGCCTCATTCTGAGGACTCTGCACTCATGACCTATTACTTCCCAAAGGCCCCATCTCCTAATAT